CATCCAATGTTACCGAGAAGAAAAAAGTTTTCTTTTTCATGCTATTAATAATTTTGTTTTTTCCTTGAATAGGGTGACATTTTTCGGCTTTCGGCCTTAAAAAGGGTATCAGTTTTCGCTTTCTTAGTCCTTAAATAGGGTTAGGGTTCACGAACCTTCGCGGCACACCCCTATCCAAAATTCACGGGAGTACCCCCCCGGGGCGTAAACCAAACGCTATTCTTGAGATCTATGAAGCATTTCAGGATAGCTTGACTTTTCTTAACCGACATTTGATAGTCTGGGTTGGTTGGGATTCTTAGATAAGTCAAATTTAGTGAAAATACTGGACTGCCGGTTATTTAGTGTCTTGAAAACCTTGACCGGTTACCGGCCATATAGCCACAGCGTTCAAATTTCTTTTCTAATAGCGCAATAAAAAGATTTTCGAATTGAAGTCTGACTAATTCTTCACCCATTTGCGCATAAACAACAGTCGAAAGGTTCAATGCTCTATGTTTAGAGACCTTGAGACAAGAATTATTCAGACATCAAGGTCAAGGAATGAGTATTCACAGTATTAATTCACTATTTGTAATGGAATCATGAGGGCCCAGGTACGCTTGATCTTTGCTTGACTGAAAAGCGGCGCTATCACTTTTAACTCACGCTTAGCCTGGGAGAGCATCTGTTTTTTTTCAGCTCAAGCTTAGCCTGTTCCAGGCGTTCAGATAGTGGGGAGCGGTGCGAAGTAAAAAGGAGCGCGAAAAAATAAAAGCGAGGGAGGAGGAGAGGTGAGAGAGGGAACGCCTGTTAGATTTGTTTTAAATAGACTCTTCCGCCCAGTCAGACCGCATCAGCTGTAGGTGGTCTTCACTTGTCAATCAAGACTGGTGTTACAACCCGATCGATGCATTTATTATTTTGCTTGCGAATAAATCGAAGTTTGTCAGATCAAAAATTAATATTATGTTTACGTAATCTTACTAAAAACCCAATGTAAGACTTTCAGACAATATAAGGCGGGAGAGGTATTCATGTATAATGAATTTATTTACGGCTTTAAAACATGATTTCAGCGTGTACGTGACAAAGAATTATGAATCAAGTGACAAACAAATATCGCTCATTTCGATAGAAAGCCGTTTCAATACAGATCGTTAACTCAAGCAATGAAAATGCACAACAATAGAAGGGAAAATTTACTATTCAGTGATTGAGTGGACCTCGTCAATAGCGATAGCTGCAACTTGCTTTCCAAGCTTTCCTTTTTGAAGTCCTTTTGTCCATTCATTAGGCAACCACGATTTAGCACTTCAGTAAACAATTTCACAGCTTCCACTTTTAACGGCTCCATCCATATCTCCTCCCATCATTGCCGCCGCTACTCCGATTTTGTTCAAACATTCCACTTGGTCTTCCATGATGGTAATCAACGGAGTTACCACAACAATCGTAAATGGTATTCTATCCTGCCTCCATTCCAACGCACGCTTTATTCGAGGAAAAAGCTGGAAAATAAGAATTTTTCCAAAGCCAGTCGGTGAGAAATTGCTAAGACATCTATCCTACCGACTACGTGTTTTAAACAGTTTCTTTGCTCTTCGCTTTTAGCCTCCACGTTTGGAAAGTCACTCAGCGCTGTGTTTGTTGCGAGTTTGAATTCTGCGTGACGGCACGTAGAGGCTGTCATAACGGCCATATCGCATTTCTCCTGTGATCGAAGAGGCTCCACTGTTGACAAAAACTGTCAAAATCAACCAATCAGAGGGTATACCAGGATCTGGTATACCGGAACGCACTTTTGTTAAAAATTCTTACAAGCGTTCCCGCACCTCTCTCCCCAGTCCCCCTCTACTTTTTATCGCTTTCTTAACTCCGCACCGCTCTCCACTATCTGAACGCTTGGAACAGGCTAGCTCAAGCTCTGAGTTTCACCCGCCGAGAAAAACCTCGGCGGGTGAATCTACATGTGAAAACTTGAGCCGAAAAAACCGGATGCTCTCGCAGGCTAACTCACGCTAGGCGGGCGGTAACTTTAGCCTTTTCGAAATCAGGGTTTTCTCACTATTTTCCAGAACATCTTGCAGGAAAACGGGTTTACGAAAACGATACCTCTTTCTGTCACTGTTTTCGAATTAACTATTTTGTTGTGTTTACTTTATTTGGATCCCGAGTTCTGTGAATGATGGTGAAATCTGGGGAGTGAAATGTGAAAACTTAACTTTGAAACAGTTATCTAGAACTTTTTGCCCTCTCTAGATCATCCATATCTACACTGTAGGTCTGGCATTTCTACTGAGGCAGTATTTGTTTCTTCGGAAAGTTATTTAAGAGAATGTCTTGGCTCGGTCCCAGGGAAACTCGCATAATAGACTGTCAGCTTTGCATTTTCATTGCAAAAGTAAACTGTATAATATAACAGTCCATTGGAGGTCATATTTAATAAATGTCACGATCGAAAGAAATGCCTTTTTGCGCAATGCTTCAATATCACAAGTGGACATGGATACATCATCATATCGATACGATGGACTGGACTTTTTTAATTAGTAGATCTTTCTGCCAACAACGAATTAGGTCAAGTGGTCAGGGGTTCAGACTGGTTCAGATAAGGAATAACATCACTAAACGCACTTTAATTTCAGCCGCAATTTGTCACTTCTCAGGAGTTATATCATACTTTACTCAGACGAGGAACGGAGTGACTGAGATGACCCTTCTCGTTTCAGCGGAATTATATATGATACTAAGGTCTGTTTCAAAGGTCGTGCTACTGCCGTGCTAAGGTGGTGCGACTGTCACCTCGACTGCAGGCGACATTACATGAAATTAGCACGACTTTTGTTTAATTCAGTCGAATAGAACGACTGTTGCCGAAAACAAAACACAAAAATAAAGACACGGTTTGGCAAACATTTAATTGTATTCTAATGTATTTATAATTTATGAATTGAGTTCGGCACGGTAGTAGCACGACGTTTGAAACGGGCCTAATCGGTACCCAGTACTGCACGGAATTGTTTCTCGCTTTCATTTTTCGATACATGCAACTCATTTCGCGCAACATGCACTGCGTAACACGCCGAACTATGAGAGTACCTTGCCACATATCTGACAGCTTTAAAGGACGAGACATAACACAAAAGGCACCTCTGTTATCAGCTGTGTTATCCAACGATCGAGGTAAACTATAGTAAGTGGCTGGGTATTCTGAAGCTTAGCCATTACCACGACTTGTGGCTACATTTATATGGCTTGAAGTTTTATCAATTCCAGCTCAGTAGATTAAAAACAATGCCAGATAAAGTATAGCATTAATTTCAGGAATGTGAACAATAACCAGCTGATATGAATAACAACATTCGACTCACAGAGTGCCGCACGCAGTACCCTGCGAGCAGAGGCCCTTCGATCTTCCTAGATAAGTCGGGAGGGTACGCACGCAGTGAAAATTTTCGCAATTGAAATCCGATTGGAAACTCAATGAACTTTAGAAGACGTTCGCTGATGACGGGATATCTTACCTTCAACTGAGTGTCTCAGGGATTTCGTTGCAATGGTCTTCGTTTCGCCCCTAATTGCCGTTGTAGTCAGCTGGCAAACCTAACTACAATTGAAGTAGTGGTAACGTGCTGGTCTACAACAATCCCGGAACAACAACAAACCACGAGTGCTTCTGACACTCAATAACACTGCAATATCTCAGTTTGGGATCTGTACTAAGTCACGCTACTAGGGAGGTGACAAGAATGCGGAAAATTCGAGAGGCGCACCGGGAGCCCCATGACAATACCCTAAGACCCTGTTTACATGGAGTGGGAGACCCCGGTCTAGTGGGGTAAGTTTCTTTTGTTTTGTGTCCCCCAGAGCGTGAAAACAAAAGAAACTTACCCCACCAGACCGGGGTCCCCCACTCAATGTAAACAGGCCCATAAACCAGGGGAACTAGACTGCGAGCAGTCTCTTATTTTTCTTTGCAAAGTTACTGCACGAAACCTAAGCACGCGAGCGTCGAAGCCGCTTGCCGCGAGAAACGAGGGTGTAAAGTCTCAATCCCTATATAATAACATCGTGGTTTGCAATCGTGCTGGATGAGATAAGAACTAGACGGATTTTAAGAGAAAAGGCGGACTGTAACAAGTCTACAGGGGAACAGAAAAAATATTCAGGGTCCTGAGTTGGTTATACCGGTTGTAGCCGTATAACATGGCCTCCTAGGTTGGGTTACTAGGAACCCTGACACTAAAGCAGAAGGAAAATGGTAGACGGGTATTTGTAAACTGTAAAGAAATTGTAGATATCTGAAACAGGAAGTTCCTTCAGGGTTTATCAGGAATAATTTATACAACAGTGGTTGTGCGACTTTTGCTAGGATTAGTAAAGCAAAGTGCAGAGGCCTAGTAAAGAGTCAATGCGAATGTGATTATTAACCCAGCGCACCAGCTCAGAATGTTTGAATTATTTTGTCTTGGAGTTTTTATTCATGGGAGTCGATATTCGGCAGATTGAGAGGCTACTCGTATACTACGTCCCGGTTTGGTTAAGTCTCCGGAGATTTTTAGACTAATCCGAAGTCTAAAGAGAATGCTTTGTGCAAGATCAAATTTACATCCGCCAGGTTTTGTAGTGTAAACAATTCTTTCAACGCAACCGAATCAGCGTGCAAAGAAAGTTGTGTCCAATAGCCCGGGGCTAGTGGATTTTGCTACCGGGTTAGTGAATTCTGTTTTTAAATTGCCCGATGGGCAAGCGAAGTTTTCTGGGAAATTCAAATTGTAAAAGAACTGTAGTCAATCCTGCTCATCGAAACTTTTTTTGCACTGGTTAAAATGACTCTGGGCTAGTAAAACTGACTTTCCTCTCACTCTGATCTGTATACTTTTTCGCCAGCGATCATACCAAACAGAGCTTGTTACAGGCATTTAGATTGTGGTAGGCTGTTCACTGACCACCTATTTTCTCTTAAGTCGTCGAGCGCCGAAGAAAAGAATACAAAGAAAAACGAAAACAGAGCAATTCAAGACATGAGTTCCATTTTATTTCAGGATTTGAGGCAAACTGACGATCACGATGTATTTCATGTAACATCAAATAAAACTGTGACATTGTACCTGCCTATTAAATTTCACATAAATGAGGCCACATTCCACATGAATGCAAGCAATCGCGCAAAGGAGGGTAGCACTCTACAATTCTTTTAGAGGACTCCGTTAGTCACACTTGTTAAGACAAAACATGGTTTTTTACAAAACGAACCAGACGCGTGGAGCGACGTCAACTATAGCCTTATTACCACATCATCGTCCGCAATCGTGTCGATCGCCTAGTGGAATGATTGTGCCTGGATCGATCGAAATAATCCAAACGAAATCAGCCGATATATTAACATATATGATACTTCAATCAAGATCGTCCCGCATAGCATGCAGCTCGTGGTTCCACTTGATTTTGAACATTGTGACGTTATTTCTATGGTCGACAAGAGTATAGGATGTTTACCCGATCGTCTGCACACATTTTCAGACATTTTGAGACGACTGACGCCATTGAGGCGATCTGGGAGATTTTAAGGAAATCAGGCTTAAGGCAACAAGAGGTGTGTGTATGGAAACTCACGTCACGTTTAATAACAAATATCGATAAACGTAACGAGAGTTTTTCACTCCTAGAGTTGACGTACTGTGCAATTATCCGCGTCAGTTATATTCACCTTACCGCAATAATGTTGTCATAAAAAAATGAAGGAAAAATGCGACGGATGCAGCATGCACCCTATGCGACGGATGTAGCATGCACCCCTGGCTTTTTACTTCATTCATTTTTCCTTTTACCATTTTTCTCTGACTGCGTTAAAAATGATATAATTAGGTCTATGACTCAGTAAAAAGAACGATTCCAAACAACTCCTCTTGCTCACTATATAAAAACCCCGTGACCTCAAAAACAGTGCGTAAGAGTGGAATATGCTTCGTGCTTAAAAATAAATTGAAAAAGCTATCCACCGACACTCCATTTGTACACTCCCCCACCCCAGTCACTTCCCCTACACAGTGATACTAATATCTCAGTGAACAAAGCCTACATTCAAGCCGTTTTTAAGCGTCATATTATTAAACTGCTGTCGCAGTTTCTCTCGAAGTTTGCGTCGCTGTTGAGAGACAGACGAGTGATTGGCCTTGAACCGGAGAATTTCTTGCTCTGATATACAAAGGTCTTCCTCGGACGAGACATAGCCCTGACAAAAGACATGAACAAAAATGAAGTTAATCACTTGTTTTTGCAGAAAACATAACTTAGCCTACAGAGCAGGCGTTTTTTTTTAAACAAAAGCGCGACCTAAAGGCACGTTGATCGCGGCTGCCATCATAAAAGCAACTAAACTCTCCCTTAGAGTGTTTTTTTGACTGGCTCCAACTTTGTCAGTTCAACGTCAAATCATTCGCTCCGTAACATACGCCTGCTTTGCAGCCTAAATATAACTTGGCTGTTGCCCTTGTGATCTGCTTACGTCTCGTTTCTTCGATGTGTAAGTTCACAAAGAAACATTCCGGGACCCAGTGGGCAATTGTAACAACTATTGTTACAAATGGCCGGTGTACAAACAACCTGTCATGTAACAGAGTCTACCGTGTACTCCTCTAGAAATCAAATGAAACCTATGGTCAGGTCGGAAGGAGACCTTAAAGGAGCTGTGTCACGAAATGTATCGATATTCAAACAATGGGAACTACCATAGACTACGAGTAGTCCCCCATTTTTCCTCAGGGATAGTAAAGCGCTCGTAAAAATCACCCCACGCGAGAAAGGCGAGACGCGGTGGGGAGAGAGAAAAATTAAAATTAGTGTCTGGGTTTTCTTTTGCTTGCAATAAATATCCCCCGCAGTTTACCGATGACAAGAGCAATAACAGCTCAATAAGGGAAGTAATCCCATTGGATGCGCTTTATTGATTTGGAAGGGAATTCGAACTTCACAATCCAAAATCGGTCGGCCGTGAAGGGTCAAAAGCTTGGGCTTTGTATGTAGGCCCTCATTTTTCTCTCTCCCCACTGCGTCTCGCCTTTCTCGTGTGGGGTGATTTTCACGCGCGCTCGCGTTTAGCGCGCTTTTCTATCCCTGAGGAAAAATGGGGCACTACTCGTCGTCTAGAACTACCACCAAATTAGGTGAAACATAAAAATAACTGCTCACAATTATGAAAGAAGGTATAAATAACAAAGCATACTGTATTAACAAGAAGGTACCAATGGAAAAATTTGAACGGATTAAAACGGGTTTCCAATAGCGGTTTTCGAAAACATGTTAGCATAACAGTTTTTCAAAGCTCATTACTGTTGTTTGTGACTTTTGACATAACGCTTAAGAGACATTTGTAAAAAGACGAACTCTCTTTTCACGCCTTTCGTGGCCTGCAAACACAGGCTTATTTGATACATTTTCGGCGGAGAGGGACGACAGCCAGAATTATCAATACGCCTGCGTCATTCGCCTCCTCTCCAGGCTCGCGCACCAGACGCGCGCGTGGTTATTTTTCCCTCACACGCGTTTCGCTTGACGGACGTAGTCGTTTAAAATTACTCAGAAACTACTTAACTATCGGTCACAACGATCGCTTACCGGTGACCCTGTTCCACCATCTTGCCACCCCATTAATTTCAACAGCCGTTTTTCCTCATCATCAATACGCTCTGAAGGTTTCTCTTGTTTCTCGTGAGTTGGAGAATTTTGCTACAAAGAAGCAAGCGATGTCGTTCGATTACAAATTAGCTACACAGTTATCTCTCACACCAGTGCTTATCCTAGCCCCCATATCCAAATAAACAAATAAACAATCAATGCCAATACCTACACAGGTAGCCCATGCTCCAAATATAAGCATCGGCGAACATCGACATTGTTGCACAACATCCAAAATATAAGGATTTGTATGGAAAATAAAACCTATCGTTTCCGTAACCTACGTAAATGAAAGAATTTCAATAAAAAACAGCTTACCTTACATAAAATGTGTGTTACGTCTCTCCAGTGTGGTGGACCACCCAGGAGAGACGTAACACACATTTTATGTAAGGTAAGCTGGGTTTTTTATTGGAATCCTTTCATTTTCGTAGGTTACGGAAACGATATGTTTTTTTCCCATACAAATCCTTATATTTCGAAATCAATGTTACGCAAAAATGCCGATGTTCGCCAATGCTCATATTTCGAGCTTGGGCTACATGTGATAACTACAGTACATTTTGCGACAGTACATGTCCTCTTAAACAGTTGGCTTGAAATTAAAAAAATGTTTGTTTGTTTGTTTGAAATAAGGGCCGCTCTTAAAGGTCGGTACACACTAGGCGACAAGTTGCAGCTACACGTCGCGGCGACATGTCGCGGCGACACGTCGCAGCGACAAATCGCTTCGTGTGTGGTGGAGAATTTTTGTGAAAATCTCTGTCTCCGCAACAGAATTTTTTCGCTGCAACAAGTCGCAAAAAAATTTGCGGCCACAAAATTCTGTTGCAGCGACAAAGATTTTCACAAAATTCTCCAGTACACACGAAGCGATTTGTGTGTACCGACCTTAACCCTTCCAGTACTTCCAAGATGTGTGGCACTGTCGTAATAGACTTGGTAACCCTTTTCAGAGAGGAAGCGTACATGCTCACTTGTTTAGGTTTTGTTAGTAACTGAAAAATGACTCAAATAATTTCTAACCTTCTTCTCTTTATTCTTGCCCTTCTTTCTTCTGCTTTTCCCATTACTGCATTGAGGGGATCCTCCACTGCTGGGGCTCCCAGATAACTGACAATCAGAGCATGTATCTTCATCTTCAGCCCCTATTTCACAAGGATCTATCGTATGACTACCCTGATGAAGTCCTCCAGACCATTTATTGAGCTCTGCCACATATCTATGGGGACCGACAAACACAGACGTTATGACATCTTCTCTTGATTATGAAAAACACCTAAATTACAGTAGGCTACAAGAAGGAGACTCCTTTAGACTGCACGGAGGCTAAATAATATTATTAAAAACTGAATCATTGGATAATGCAATTCTAGAGCTCTGATTGGCTTAGCCATCATTGTATATGAGCCATTATACCATGTTCTCCAAATATGGCAACTGCGTCTGCTCAAGATTAAAAACAAGCTGAAGTACTCATTCGGGTGTAAATTTGGGCGCCCGTCGAGTTTTCATGGGTATAAATTTATCGTTACCCCTTTCTTGTTGCACGGCCGCTGCGTACGTTAATATAAAACCTAGTCGAGGGAAAACCCCGACGACCAAATTTGAAAAACGCACGAGCTATTAAAGCCAAAGGGTGACAAGATCATCACAAATTACATCCTAAAGGACAACAGTTCCCCAATGAGACACTCACCCGCAGTCACCATTCCTGTAACCATTTCTCTTTGACTTGCTTTGCTCACAATTACTCAAATCTTCACAGCTACAAGGTGATTCACCGCTATCAACATCATCTTCATCATCTTCACAGCTGTCTCTATGACCATTTAATTCCTCTGTCTCTTCAACTCTCTCAATCACACAAACTTCTTCCTTTGCAGATTCTTCCTCTTTCAGTTCATTATTTGTTGACAGAGTTATTTGTGAATGACATTTACATTTCCCCTTCCGCTTTGCTTTCTTTTTTAACCGTTTCTGCTCTCGTTTCAGTTCCTTTGCTCTTTCAGCCTCAGAAATCTCTTCTACGACTTGTTCTAGCCGTGAAATTCCTTGCTTTTCTTCAACAGCAACCTGTTAAGATAAACATAGTGGTGAGCAAATGACTTGCATTCTAACAGGGGGGAGGAGGCGCTTACCGGTCATTTCGATACAAAGTCGTTTCGCTAAACGTTGATTCAGTCGAGGTGTAAATAGTTTCATGTACTTGGCCTAAAAAAGGAGGAATGTTCACCTCATATGTTTATTTTGTTCAGGCGCGAACTATACTTTGAGTAATCAAAATTTTTGTGCAATTTCATTGCTTGAGTTCGCATCAAAATGACCGCTTTCAGAGAAGGCGGGTACCAAGACGTGGTACCAAGTAGTTAACACGACGTAACGTGGAGGCCCCAGTTTTGAGTCCCGCTCTGACCACTAGATGGTGCTGTTTCAACGCCTACTGGTCGTTTAGCTACAAAGACATTTTGCTACAAGTCGTTTCACAGCAGAGTCTTTTCGTTTTCATGATGCAGCGAAACGACTTGAAGCGAAACGACTTAGCAGTGAAACGACCAGGCACCGACTCAACGCATCGGCCATGCAGCCTGACTGGTTTGCTTCCTGCCAATCTGGGGTTATCAATATTGTCATGTTTGTTTATTTAATTGAATTCTTTTGAGAAAAAGCGCGTGAAAAACGCCAGAGCAACTATGTACAATTTCATTAAAATCATAGCAGTTACAGTCTTTCACTCCTGAAACGTGAGCTGTTACTTACAGGTGTTTAGCTGACTTACCTCAAAACTTTTTCTTAGTGCATCAATCCCCAGATAAAAGAGCATTTGCCAAGTTTGTTCCTCAGCCCTAAGTTTCTGCCAAAGCCTGTGAAGTCTTTCCCAAAGGTGAATGCCAAGACACGTCAACACCTTCAAAGAAGGAGACAAAATAATTTTTACCAAGATCAATTCTGCTCACAGGACCCATACGGAAGGTTATTTAAACGAAGTTTAGCCACTGTTTAACAAAACCGCGTTCTAATTCATTTTCGGTTTGCCAAACGCTTTTATCAAAACACCGTTTATCGTGAGCAGTTTTATGAAAGCATAAAGTATAGACTACAAGTCAAGTGCTCATAACTGAGCACTTCAGACTTTGTTTGATGGAGTCAGACCTAAAACAACTTTTTAGTCATACCTCTTCCTGGGCAATGTCCAATGTCTTAGCATGTCTTTCTCTTCTTCTGAAATAAAAGCAATGCCGGTTAGGCAATGTATTAAAAGACAGTGGTGGTCCGCATCACTAATCCAAATAAGAATGGTGCGTGGACCTGCTTTTTTGCAATTTATTTTTATTACAGCAAACTATTACTAGACTATCGTGGCTTCTTCAAATTGCCCTGTCAAAAATCTTATTCATTGAGAGAGGGACACTGATTCAATATCCTCCTCTCAATGAATAAGATTGTTGACTGGGCAAACTCAGTTTAAAACAAAAAAAAAATTGTTTGTGCAGTAACCAATGGAAGACAGTTTGACAATTTTCATTTCCATACCACCACTTTAAGTTGTTCTGCACCTTGTGTGAAGTCCTTGGGCTGCACGGCAGTTACTCAAAAGTAAGTGGGGAAGGACTGGGCTCAAAATAAGCCCTGTTTGGTAATCCGCGACAAGTAGCAACCCTCCAAGTTGCCACCATTTTGGTTGCCATGGCGACTAAAATTTTGACGCTGGCGACTTGATTCGCAAAAAAATCTCCCTAGACCAAAAGAGTTGGGTACCAAATGGCGACTGAGTAAAAGCTTTAACCTGGAGGGTTGAGTAGATGTCCTTGCTGGACAAGTAACTTTCAAAGCTTACTCATCCAATGCCCAAGGGTCCAAGCAAGTCATTCTCTAACAAAATCATTAACTAACAAGAGTAAGAAATGGTCCCAGACAAGCTGGAATTCAATTTTTTTTCGCGAACCATGAAGCGGAAAAATAGATGTAAGAGAACATGAGGAGGAACATTCAACTCAAAGCTGAAGTGGCTGACTTACCCTCCAGCGAGCTCTGGCTCTGCCCGTCCAATAAGATGTGCAATATAGTCAGTATCACAAAGTACATGGACATGCCGCTCTTGAGGACAACTTTTGAGCCCATCATACAATGCTGCACAATACCTGGTAAAAGAAACAAAGCCAATGAGTACATAAACTTGCCTAGAGTTTACAGATGGTAACTCCGATCAAGCAGTGGCCTGCTCCACTTCCAGTTGAAATTAAAGGGGCTATCACCATTTGCTATCTTTTAAAAAAGCTACTGCATTTTCCCCAATAATTGAATTCCACAAACCAAATAGTGATCACTTTTGTTATTTAAGACTATATTTAAGTATTAAAACTGTTTCCTTTTAACTGTGGCAAAGGTTGGCAAGGATGGGACGGGGATTGAAACTTAAAAACGGTGTGCTGAGTTCTTCATGTTTTAATACCATACCTGCAAAGATCACCAAAAAAAAAAATTACGCTACTGCTCCTCAGGGTTGTCACTAAGATTTCAAGTTGCCGGGTAAAACCAACAAGTAGGTGGGTAATCAAACACCTACGGGTTTCTTTTGGTTTCAATTTTCTTCTATTTTTCAATCAAAGTAGCCAAGGGCCACACTAATAGTAGCTAGCAGGGGAAATCCGTGGCCCCTGGCTCTTAATGACAGCTCTGGCTCCCTGATGAAATTTGTTTGATATCTACTTCAGAATCCAACAAGGGCATTGTGTATGGATAAGGGCACTAAAATGACTTCAGCACAAAAAAGACCTAAAATGGTAATCTCTTCGTGACATAGTCCCTTTAAGAAATGAAAAACTGGATATACCTTACAAATCGAACAAAAGTCAGCTAACAGTCTTACCCTTTTTCACTAGGTCCATCTAAATCACCAGCCAAAATACTGTAGGCCCTTAGAACTTTTGATTTACATTCTGTACAAAACCTAGAGCAACAAAAACCAATGAGAAATAAATGCACTACTTTTACAACAATGACAACAGTGTCATAAAAATAATGTCAATAATTTAATGCCAGTTGGATGAAGGAAAATGCCCATTACCAGCATTTCAAATTATTATTCAGTCAATAAGAGTCTTGAAATATAAAAATACTATATAATGCATAGGAAAGCATTATTAGATTAACAGAAAATCTGCAATTACTGACGTTGTGCATCAATGGGTGCTATTCTGCAATGATGTTATAGTTCTAACAATCAATTATTTCTTGTTAGATCTATAACATCAGACTTATAAATTTCTTTACTAACCTATGCTTTCTCAGATAATTCTCCAATGTGTCAAGAAGAGCATCTGAATCGATTAACACAACCTAGAAAAAATAAAACAGGTACAATATATGAGAAGGAAAAGTGGAAGAGATTTACAGAAGAAAAGGTTGCCGTAAAGAATATGGCAAAGTTTAACCATACCTCATCTCGACATTCCTGTGACAATAAATCCCAAACATCTATCCAGCTTCTATTTAAGAAATCAATAAAATGACATCATAAGTATTTAAAAACAATTAATATACGAGGAAAAATAAGACGCATCTTACATAAGACGCATCTTAAGTAAGACGCAAACTGTACCATTTATACGAGCATGTCTTATCTAAGACGAGAACAGCTCCTATAAACTTAATGGTTTGCGTCTTATTTCTGTTCTTGACTCGTTTGCATGTGAACGTTGCCCGTAGCAATGGCAACCAACAAGGTGCGAAAATTTTCCTGCCAAAAATTAACGCATGCGTACCATGCGTTCGCGTCTTATGTAAGACGTGAAGGTCACTTATACGAAGTTTTTCTCGTCTTAGATAAGACCCGTGTTATCTAAGAACAAGTGTTAAGGGCTGTTCTAAAATAAGACGCGACTTAGCTAAGTCGCGTCTTATTTTAGACGAAATGTGCCGTTTATACGGAAAGTTCGCGTCTTATTTAAGACGCGTCTTATTTTTCCTCGTATAAATGGCCCTAATGATTATTTTCCTTGCAAGTTTCACTACCACACTACATGCATTAGAAATAATTTATTACAGTCTTGACCACTGCCTTACCCTGATGGCCTTGACTTGTGTGTTTCCAATGAATGAAGAGGACACCGTCTGCAAAATAAAAATTAAGGGGTTTCTTCTACTTACCGAACTATTTTACTGTAAAGAGAAACTCAACTTCTCAAAGGCTATGCTCTTTTAAGTGTTACAGCAGGGTTGTCACTAAGATTTCAAGTTGCCGGGTAAATACAGCTAGTAGGCGGGGAATCAAACAGCTGCGGATTTCTTTTGGTTCTATTTTTCTTCTATTTTCCAATAAAAGTAGCCGGGGACCACACTCTTAGTAGCCGGGGTAAATCGACAGCCCCCCGCTCTTAATGACAGCCCTGCACAGGATACCTAGAGGCATGCAGTTAAACAATTATACTAAAGTGAAAGAAGGTTTTCAGTCAGTTGAATAAAAAATAATTGTTTTTTCTAGCTCCTTGGACACTGCTGGAGCACATTTAGCAGGGGCACCCAACGTCAATTTTCAGAAAATATCTGTTCGGAAGATGATTATTTTGAGATCTAGAATTTTCGGAACATTTGTTGTAAAATTTCCTGCTTGCCTGCCTCTCCTAGGATTTTCGAACATTCAAAAAATGGTATAGTTGCCCATTTTTAACGGATTTTTACCCTACGAAGGTCACCTAGAATTTTCGGGAGCCTTTTTTCTGGCTAATATTTTCACAAAAGGTAAGTTTTGATCCCTATAATTTTCGGATCATCAGACTTTCATCTAGGAAATCTGAAGAGATGAAAAATTTTTAGGGGAAAAAAAATATGCCTATATCTAAAACCGTTTAAATACTAAAATATGTTTAAAAACGCTATGTTTAAGAGGTTTTGAACTACATTCTCAATGGGTGCCCCTGATTTAGCCTCTTTACAAAACAAGAATGGTAATTATTGTTGTTGTTGCTGTTTTCATTAAATCTGAAATGCTACATACCTGTTGCGTCTGCACTTAGGAATGGATTCAACCATCTCATTTAGTCTGGAACTTAAAGAAACAAATTAAGCCATTAGGTTACAAAATCTAGATTCCAGGCATCATTTATAGTCTTTCTTTCAATCATAGCATCCTCATGGCAACCCCGTCAGTTTGCAAAATAACATTGGCCAAAATACTCCAAAGCTGAGGAATATGATAACATTGTGGAAGGTTAAATAATGCAAGGTATACTGAACATTACAAGTGAGAAAAATAGTGAAAGAAATTAGACACAAGTTAATATCTGTAAGTAGCCATGTAAAATATTAGGAAACTTAATGTGTTTTAATGATTAAAAGGTGATGAGGTTATTTAAATGCTTATATATATATATGCCAGGAACACAAGATGATTAGGTTTAGAATAAAATACAATAAACCAAGAACAAAATAGAAAGAACAGCAATGCAGTTAGTTGTATAGCTTCATTATTAAATAAGTAACATCATAAGCAAACGAACTATTTTCAGATTTACTTACCCATGTATGTAAAAGAGTGCATAAACAAGTTTTGGATCCTGAAGGAAAGGACCCTCAATTGTCAAAACTACAAAAAAGAAAAAAGAAATTAATCCATCATGTTACTCCTTTGCTTTTCTCTATTTTTATTATTAAACACAGCATTTGCAAGGTATTTCAGACAATCAACACTTTTGCGGCTGGATAAGGAACTTTACTATTCCACTTCAGTCACAAGAGTACAAATAATGCTAAAAATGAGTACAAATACCGGTACCTCACAGTACAGTCAACTCTCTCATAAGCTACCACCCTTGGTGCACTATAAAGAGGTTGCTTACTGGAGGTTGTCGTGCATGGGAAAGATAACAAAAAAGCTCAAATCGAACTGATTACCATAAATTTTACATAAAGTTATTACCTTAAAAGCTAAAACTTGGGCAAATAGATAACTGGAATATACTTGATTATTAGCTCAATTTATAACATGCAGAATTTTAGTGATGCTTACAGTTTGTTAAAATTGATAAAATGAACTTGACAAGTTAGTGGCATAACTTGTAACAAAATAAGCATTGCATTTATTATCTTAATGGATCCACTTTCAAGTACAAAATTCAAAACAAATGGCAAAAATTGTGCCTGCTTTCTGAAATTTACCATAGTTAATGATATGCAATGGTTACGAAGGTCTAAAAACTGTTTTTTGTCAATGATAATAAGTTCCTCTCAAACTTTTTAGCCTTGACCCTGCACAATATCTATTAGAGCACACCAACCATGTTGGATAAGCTGACTAATATAAGGGTTCAGTCACAGTGCAAGGTCAGGGGATTCCCAGCAAAGTGCTGTATGCTGCAGCACAGTTTCAGTTTTGCTGGCTTTCATAATCAGTCTCCTCTAAGGCTCTTATAACTATGACTAGACCAAAGCATTGCACAGTCTGCCCAAAATTGTCACAATTAAGTGATGGTTCAAGAATAACAACAGTGAGATTACATTATATTTCCAATTTCCATCAAATAAAGGCCACACGTCAGAACAACTTACTTCCACTGTTTGTAATCCTTAAGGGCTCCAAGGCTGGTTGCCCAGATTTTACTAACTGGTTGTATAATCGCTCCATACTGTGCATAAACAACAGAATAACGTGATAAGTAAAGGTGGTTTAGAGAACCAAAAATCATCCAGACAGGATGTTACTTTTAACTTAATTCAAGGCATTTACAAAAGACAAAACGCCTTTAACCTAAAAAAGATATACAGTTGAACATCCACGCAACTGTACACTTGATCAGGTTTTCTACTCCCTTCCACTTGGTATAAAGAGTAATACACTGATCGTGTAGTATTTTAAATTAGTGGGATAGCATATGTAAAAATACAGGACCCATTTGCTCACTGGATAAATCTCTATCCAGTGTATAACATAATTGGTTTCCCTAACACTCATCCACTAGAACAGGGCTCGAAATTGCGACTGATACGGTCGCCAATGCGACTAACATTTTTTCCTTGGCGACTAAAAATTCTGGTTTAGTCGCCAAAGTGGCGACCAGATTTTAGAAGAGTAAAATTAAAACGAACATTTCATCTTATCTTGCTTTTCTTTCATCATGGAAAATGTGCCAAATCAATCACATAAACAAAGACAGTTTACCTCCAAATTTATACTGACTTCAAGATATTTTCAAATCTGATGGATCGCGCCATACTATGCTGGGCTTCTTATAGGTAGTGGAAAAAAGGGAAATTTCGCGGGATTTTTAGGGGCAAATTCGCGGAAACATCGGCCGATTTTGCGGCACTTTCGCGGGAATGTTTGGGGCAAACTTCCCCGAAAATCAATCAGTAAAAACGGCCGATTTTGTGGTTATTTTTGAGGGAACATTTTGTCAGATATCGATCAGTTTTGGCCGATCAGACCAGCATTTTTAACGTTTTAATAATAGGGTCATCCTTTGCTCTTTCAACAACAATACGCTCCAGAAATGAACCAATGGCAAAGCCTTTAACATCATGGCTAGTGCCCAATTTTCGCAACATAATCTACGCCTGGTAGTTTCGGGACGTTATTTGCACGTTTCATTGACGAAGTATCAAGATTTACGGCAAGTAAATAGCCCCCAATAGCTGAGATAAGTTTCAAATATGTTGTACAGACATGTATTTGATAGGATTTCTACTGAATTTCGCGGTATTTTGAGTGTTTTTGTGAATTTCGCGGCGCTGCTCCAGCTCGAAATATCAGAAGCCCTGTACCTATGAGCTGCGTCATTTACATTTTACAAACTGGTGACTAAAAATTTGCATCTGGCGACTATATTTCTCCGGTTGGTCGCCACAAGGCGACCTGAAGATTTTTTTAATTTCGAGCCCTGTAGAAAGTGATTTATCTGGTGCATAATGCTACCCAGCTTTTGAGCAAGTGGGGCCAGGTGAGGAATGATTTCAGAATACCCAGCCCACTAAATGTCTTACTAATGTGCTTATAGAATGAGGTATATAACTAGTGCTCCCAAAAGGACAGGGTGCAAAGAAAGTCAAAACGTTTTGATGAGCAGATGGATTTCACAGTTCGTCTGTAATTTGAATTCCTCAAAAAACTTCACTTGCCCATGCGGCAAGTTAAGAACAGAATTTACTAGCCTGATAGCTAAATCCACTAGGCCCAGGCTATCAGACACTACTTTCTTTGCAAGCTGAAGGAGCAGTTTTTTAAAGTTAGATATTAAGTGGGCCAGGTATTATGCAATTTAGTCCCATGAAAATCATAGAATAAATGGAAACAACAAGATATTTGCAAACTTATTTAATATAAGGCACTGGGTTGTGTTTGAAATAAAAGTGCAATATCAAATTCCTACATTACATAACAAATCCAACAACAAAGGTTGTTACACATTTTCCAAAAAACTTAAGCTTACTTATATTGGCAACCTAGCGAAGCCATTTAAGACAAATTAAAGAAATCGAAAGTGATACTTACCGAGATTTGCTTGTAATAGTGAATAATTAATTTCAAAACGATGAGGAAATATTATATAAAAATAGAAAATTCTTGCCTTCTACGACATCCCACGCAAGGAACAGAGAGGGACAGGAAGGAAAAGACATCTTTCTTTCGCACCATAGTTGCAACAGCGAGATCATCTGAACTTAAACATTGAAATCTCTGCAAAACAAAACGAAATTAGATCGGAATGTTTACTTCCTGGCAACTGAATTGCCAGAGAGTGCTCATATCCACCTGGAGACTCAGACAGTACAGCTTGAACTCGACTCATCACACAGATACTATCTGATCTCGCGATTAGCCTTGACATTTATATGGTCGACTATACAAGCTAACTATTCACTCGATCCAGAGTAAACACGACTGGCAACTTCTCATGTCGTATTTTCGCTTAGGTTTCCAAATCAGTATATCGTAAAAAAAACTCAACTCATGCTGGTTTACGAACATTTCATTTGATTTGATTTTTATCAAAACTACTGGTAACCATTTATTAAATTTAACCTTGGAAAAGACAACTCTGCTAAATGTCGCTACACCAGTTAAAGATTCGTTTCTAGCAGGTTTAAATACACTTGACAAAAGAGGAACTTAGCCTGAAATTTTTCAAAATATTCAAGCTTTAAGCTAAGTTATTCACTGACCTTGTTAAATACTTGAAGTTCGTCTTCGTTTACTTGGCGAGTAGAAATGACAGTTTCAGGAATTTCCATTACCATCTGAGCAAGAAAGGACAAGAAACTTCAGGCAAAATTCACGGAAAACAAATTGTCAGAAGGCGACTGGCACAATGTACAATACCGTTAACGTGTCTTCAATATTTAGAGGGATTTGTCTCCGCTCGAATGCGAAGTCAGCTTCATCTCGACACACCGCTACAAGTTTCGCCATTTTATCCAATCTGTCTTGCTTAGACGGACACCACAAAACTTCTGTTAAATCAGAGGAAGTCGATAAAACTCGTGAAGTGCAATGCACTTCGTACAAATGTGTTCCTTGGTGAAAATGTCAACGTAAATATTCCCTCTTTTGCTTTCGATCCCGTAATCCTTCGGCTGCCGCCATCTATACCAGCGAACAGCGCGAGGTGTGTCTTATCCCATGCTCCTTCACGATGCCACGTTGATCCTCGAATGAATATCTAATTACGTTTTAGGGGTGGCCCAGGCTCCCTTCTATATTGGCGAAAATAAATACGGCCCGAAGGGCCGCAGCAGAATTCACGCAGAATAAGGGTGTCCAAGCAGAATTTTGAGCAGAATAAGCGATTTTTACCAGCACTGCCGGCAGGCAGAACTAGCCATTTTACGAGCAGAATTTATCCAAGCCTAGGGCTTTCCACAAGTTGCTCGAGATTTTCCAAAAAGTTTTCCGTAATTTCTCAAAAAGTTTCTCAAAAGTTGCTCTAAAAACAATCAAAAGTGCTTTTTGTCAGGAAAGTTGCCCAAAAGTTGCTCGAAAAAAACAAAATCTTTTTTGGTCTGATGCTAAAATATGCAAATTATACAACAAAAGTAAGATCATGGCTAAGCATTTCAATGCAATGGGCCATTTGCACGGTGGCGTCATTTTAATACTACGACCAGAGTCCTTTTCGCTTTTCCTTTCACATTTAAATTTTGTAATCATGGCAATCCCAGTGAGGTTTGAATAACAAAAGCCCTAATTTGCACAAGAAAGCAAAACCCTGAAGGATTCTGGTCGTATTCAAATCAAAATCAAAGACTTTTTGCATTGTTGATTGTTGATAGCAAAATTGCTGATACATGTATCTCCGAAGAAAATAAATCTATAAAATAAGTAAAGTACATCAATAGAAGAAATAAAT